TCCATATACATAGCAAAATAAAAAGAGAGAATTGTATGAGGAACTATAGATCTTTATTTTATGCCATTTGCTCTTTTAAAAATTATATAATACACTCTACACATTACTTTCAAGACTGTCCTGCTTGCCTGTGCTTCTTTCTGAACTTCTTTCTGTCCTATGCATTTTAAAATGTTTCAGTGGTCTTTTTTTTATCAGGGTATCACTGTTATGGATAGTTATGTGTCGCTGTGGATAGAGTGCTGGGCTTGGAGTCAGGAAGACTCCTCTTCCTCAGTTCAAATCTGGCCTCAGACACTTATTAGCTGTGTGACCCTGGGCAAATCACTTAATCCTATTTGCTTCCATTTATTTCATCATCTGGAGAAGGAGCTGGAGAAATGGCACTCCAGTATCTTTGCCAAGAAAGCCCCCAATGGATTCACAAAGAGTTGGATGTAACTGAAAAATAATCATTCACTTTTACTAACACCTATTCTGTTTCTCACCCCCTGCCTCCCAATTAAAATCTGAGAACAAAAACATCAATAAAAGAATACCTTATAACAAATAAACTTAGTCAAACAATACATATCCACATAGTGGCTATGTGTAAAAATTTGTGTCTCTTTCTACTTGTTGAGTCCATTGCCTATCTGTGAGGAATAGGGTAACATACTTCACCCAAAAGCAGTGTGTGTGTGTGTGTGTGTGTGTGTGATCCTCCTTTTATCTGGTTGCTATAAAAGTGAGATCTATCTGATGCTTGCTTCTCCTACCCATTATTTCTCTTCTCATGCTCTGCAGTTATAATAACTCAAGTTCTACCACTCTTTTCCTCCTTTCTATAGACTGGTGTATTCCTTTTAATTTGCCTCCTTTTCCCCCTTTTAAAGCCCTTTGGGGGGAAAAATACACTCCCTCTGACTTTTGTTTTTCTTACTTAACTAACTCAATACCATTAGAGGACATCAAGGTTCTGAAGGAATACTTATTTCTTCTCCTCCTATTAGAATGTCAGCACTATATCATACAATTCCTTCCATTTGCTCAAATTTATTTTTCTAAGTCTTAACTTGTGTTTGCATTTCAAAGTGACTACTCAACTCTGTTATTTTCATTAGAAATGCTTGGAAGTCTTCTATTTCATCAAAGATCCATTTTCCTCTCTTGTAGGATTATATTCATATTGGCAGAGTAAGTTATTTTTGGTTGGAAGTCTATCTTTTTTGCCTTTTGGAATGTTGTATTTCAAGAACTTCTCTCATTTATAGTGGAAGTTTCCAGGTCTTGTGTGATCCTGATTGTGATTTTTTGGTACTTGAACTGCTTCTTTCTAAATGTGTGCTGTATTTTTCCTTTGATGGAGGAGTTCTGGATTTTGGATATGACATTCCTGGGACATTTCCTTTTGAGGTTTCCTTCAGAAGGTGATAGATGGATTTTTTTTCTGTCTGTGTTTTATTTCTTTGTTCTAATAGATCTGGGAAGTTTTTGTATATAATTTCAGTAACTATAGTATCCAGGCTGTTTTTTTCTTCTTTTTTTGATCATGTTTTTGTAGAGTTTAGTGATTCTTTTTAAATTTTTTTTATTTATTTAATTTTTAATTTATGGAATGGAACAAACATTTCCATAACATAGTACAATTAAAAAAAAATGATTGTACACAAAACTGCTAATCTATTCTATAGAACCTGCTATTCCTTTTAAATATATAATAATGTTATCATGTACATTTCTTTTTTTCCCTCCTTCCTGGCCTAGAGATGGCTACCATTAGACACAAATATGTATATATATGTAAAATCATTCTATACATATTTCTATTTATCAGTTCTTTCTCTGGATGCAGATGGTGTCATCCTTCATACATCCTTCGCTGTTAATTTGGGTATTTATAATAGTCAAAATGACTTATTTGCCCAAAGTTATTCTTAAAACAATATTGCTGTTATTTATACAACATTCTCTTTCTTGTGCTCATTTCACTTTTCATTATTTCATGCAAGTCTATCCATATTTTTCTAACATTATTTAGTTTATTATTTCTTATAGCACAGTAGTATTCTATCACCATCATATACCACAATTTGTTCAGCCATTCCCCAATTGGTGGGCATCCCTCCAATTTCCAATTCTTTACCATGACAAAAAGAGTTGCTATAAAAATTTTAGGACATATAGATTATTTTCCTGTTTTCCTAATCATCTTTGGAAATAGATCTAGTAGTGATATTGCTGGGTAAAGGGTATAGGCAGTTTAATAACTCTTTGGGCATAATTCCAGATTGCTCTCCAAAATGTTTGGGTCAGTTCACAATTCCACTAACAATGAATTAGTGTCTTAATTTTTCCACATCCCCTCAACATTTGTTGCTTCCCCCTTTAATCATTTTAGCCAGTCTGATAGGTATAAAATGATATCTCAAGATCTTGCTTTTCTCTAATCAATAATGATTTAGAGCATTTTTATATGACTGTAAATTGTTTTGATTTCTGTTCATATCCTTTGACCATTTATTAATTGGGGAATGACATCAATTTTATGAAATTATTTCAATATTTGAGATATGAGACCTTTATCTGAGAAACTGTATATAAAAAATTTCCCCCAATTTTTGTGTTTTATTTGTACACTTTTAAAATTTAATGTAATCAATGTTATCCATTTTATACCTCACTCTGTTCTCTATCTCTTGTTTATTCATAAATTATTTACCTAGCCATAAGTCTGATAAATAATGTGCTTCATGTTCTTCAAATTTTCTTGTAATATCTTTCTTCATATCTAGCTCATGTATCCATTTTGACCTTATCTTGGTAAATGATATAAGATATTGGTCTATTATCAGTTTTTGCCATACTGCTTTCTAGTTTTCCCAACAATTTTTTCCAAATAATGAATTTTTATTCCCAAATCTCCAGTCTTTATACCTGTCAAATAGGTTACTGTAATTATTTGCTGCTATAAATTGTATGTCTACTCTGTTCCATTGATCTACCTTTCCAATTCTTAGCCAGTTTCAGATAGTTTTGATAATTACCGCCTTATAATATAGTTTGAAATCTGGTACTGTTAAACCTCTTACTTTTTTTTTTCATCATTTCCCTTGATGCTCCTGACTTTTTGTTCTTCCAAATGAATTTTGTTTTTATTTTTTCTAATTAAGTAAAATAATTTTTTTGGCAATTGAATTGGAATGGCATTGAATATATAAATTAGTTTAGGTAAAATTGTCATTCAGTGATTCTTAAATTATCTCCTCCTGATCTCTTTTCTAGGTCACTTGATTTTGATATCAGATGTCTTAGTTTTCCTTTATTTTTTCCAGGTTTTGATTTTGTTCTAATATTTTTGTTGTCTCATAGAGTCATTGATTTCTGTTTGGTCTTTTCTAAATTTTAAGAAGTCTGTTATTTGGATAAGGCTCACTACTTTGTCTTCTAAGCTATTGATTTTCTTTCCAGCTCTTTCCTCCAGAGATTTTATTCTTTATCCCTTGCTTCATTTCTTTTAGATAATCATATAGTCCTTATAGAAAGTCCACTTTTTCCTTTGAGTCTTTAGTTGTTGTGGAGTTAATCTCTTCTAGGTTTTTTTGGGGGGGGGAGAAGGAACATGTTTAGATCTATTATAATTTTTCATAGATTCTATATTTTTAGCTTGTTTATCTCTCCAGCCTTAGTTTATGAATTAAGGGTTTGTGCCAAGGTTAAGCACCACACCTTCCCCTTCCTACTATACTTTTCTTTTTTTTTTTGGTGGGATGGGGCTAGTAATCAATGGTGGGGAACTTGTGGTTTTGAGGCCACATGTGGTCCTCTAGGTCCTCAAGTGCAGCCCTTTGACTGAATCCAAACTTCACAGAACAAATCCCCTACTCACGAAGAGCAATATATTTCAGTACTCGCTGAATCAGACTTTGTTCATCACTGTTCTGGAGAAACACTGGGAGATCAGGCTGATTCCATGATCATCTGGAATTGGAATTCATGCCTGATTACGCACAATGAGACTTCAGAGCAGAGAGGTGGAAGGGGGTGAAGTACAATGTCCTAAGATGTATTCTAGGTTCCTGGGCCTGTTCTAGAGTCAATATAATTAGGTCTCAAATATCTGTAGGGTTCTCTTGTATAGAGGAAGGTCCTAGAGACTTTAGAGGAACCTGAATCAGTGTTTTCTCTTGTAGTAGTGAGGATGACCAGTTGCTAGGGGAGGAGAGGATAGTTATCATTGCCTGACTTTGGCCTTCTCTCTGATGCTGACTTACAGAATAATGAATGACTTACAGAATGAGATGACTTCTCTAAAGCCTTTGTCTGAAGAACTGATGTTAAAAATGTCTCTTAACTTCCTTGATAAGTGATTTTAAAATCTCAAATCATTTAATCAGTGAAAAGTCTCTGTAAGCTACTATTGCAGGGTTCAGCTAAAGGCAGGTATATAAATAAGAATTTTTTTTTTTTACAAGCACTTAAACCCTTAGATTAACCTTGAGATTTCTAAATTATTTTTAAAGACAACAGAAGTCAGCTAAAACTACTTCAATAAAAATTGATTTTCTTTGTGGCTGATTTAGAAACATTTGTATTTTATTGGTTTAGATGGTACACCATCCACTACAGGACAGATATTTTCTCATACCCTTAAGGAATCATTTATAATATTTTGAAAAGCCTGGAATCTGCTTTTAGCTACGTATCATGGGCTTTGGCTGGACAGTTTTGTGGAGGCAGTCCAACCTACCAAACAAACACTGCACACCTGGAGGATTTTTGTGGGAGTATCCTTTGAACAACGAATAAATCACTTCAGATTGTTGTGTGGTTTTAGCCTATTCATGAAGTTGTACAGTGGATATATTTAAAAACTTTGGGTTTTTAAGAAGTCTTATGTACAGATAATATGTCATATATAGTATACATACATATTTCATGTATATACTGCATGTATATATTTACATATTTGCATGTGTATATTCGCACACATATGTCTATATATTTTTTCCCCTTCTCAGACCTCAGCTGGATTTCTAAAGTGCAAGTGAACCAGCCAGCAGTTTTAAGGCGTGCAGAGCAAATCCAAACTCGAAGAACTGTGAAAAAGGATTGGCAAGTAAGTGTTGTTGAACATTCTATATTTTTTTTGTCTTAAAATACTTAGACTCTTCCTTTAAGGTTGTAATATTGAATTTTGCTCAATATTCTGAAGCTTATATATGTGTATGTGTGTGTGTATATGTGTATGACTCATTAGTTAAGAGGAGAGTCCTGGATACATTAGAAGAACCTGAACCAGTCTTCTTTCTCGTATCCTGGAGGATTACCTATCCTTGGTCTATGATGTTTGGTTTAGAGAAAAGGTGATTGGTTTAGAGAAAGATAGCGTGTTTATGCAAAGTAAACATTTTATTACTCTTTAGTGGCAAAGCTGCAAATGACTTTGTGACATAAATTGTATTTTTTCCAAATGTACATCCATTGGCTGCTTTATATTTTAACTATATAGCAATACATTCTGAATCTGTTTAGTTACTGTTGTGGCTCTTAGTTATAAGAATTGACTTCCTTTGACCATCTTCATTTGATCTTTAGCATCTTAAGGACATGTGTTTATTTTACCTGCTTTTTTCCCCAAATAATTCTTGTAATCCAAAGAGCTCAATTTCATGAATAATGAATAAATAACTGCTTTTAACCACTCCTATTGGGTTCTAGGACCAGAGAATGTAGTCTTAATTTCATGAGATATACACAACATTTGAACCTTTTAGGAAGTTTGTGTTTGAGTCTTCTGGGGTACGATTTCATACTTCAAACTGAACCATGTTCAGTTTAAAGTTCTTGAGGTGAAATTATTCCTATAAAATATGAGTGTTATTTTTAAAGTCAAAATATAATCAAATGGAAAACCCATGGAACATCTGTGTTCAACCATTTTTTATAGTGTTTGTCATTTTAGGGGTCATAGGATTTTTTATCTGAAATGGACCTTAGAGGTCATCTAACACAACCTCCTCATTTTATGGATGAGGAAATGAGACTCAGAAAGATTAAAAGGTCAACCCAAAATCATGGAGGTAGTAGTGACTTGTGGGTTTTGAAGATAGGTACTGACTCCAAATCCATCGTTTTTTCCTTTATATCCCACATAACTGTAAACAAAGCATGACATTAAAATAAGATTGAAGAAACTTTTATATTTACTGTAATCTCATATTCTGTGTAGTGATATGGATGAAGAGGCCAGATAGGTGTAGTATAGGCATACTGCCTGACATTTAGTGGATGCTTAATAAAGGGTTAATGATTGATTCAGTGGTGATGGGGGTGGGGGAGATAGGACACAGGAGAGGTGATGTAGAAGAGGTTTCAGATTGAACTATACAGTTCAGATGTTGAGACCTATGAACTATATCTAGAGAGGTGAATAGATTTGGGGGACTTGGGTTTGAATCCTGACTCTGACACTCATCACCTTAGGCAAAGCAATATACCTAATGAGAGGGTTGGACTAAATGGCCTTCTAAGGTCCCTAGAGAGCTCTAAATCTATGATGCTATGATTCTTTGCTTTTATCTTGGTTTTCCTTGGATTTTAACTTTTAATTAAACAGTGTTTAAAGTTTAACTTTTAGGTGAACAATATAGTCTACGTCTGAATATTCTTTTGAAGTGAAGACATCAAATTTTAGCATTTATACTTGCTTATATGATTCTGTAATAATTTGACCAAAAGTGCCTTTTTTTCCTATATGATTTTTTCCTCTTTTTCCTTAAAACAGGCTGCTTGGCTTCTGAAAGCTGTTACGTTTATTGATCTCACTACACTTGCAGGTGATGACACTCTATCAAATGTTCAGAGGCTTTGTTACAAAGCCAAGTATCCAATCCGGGAAGATCTTTTGAAAGCTTTGAATATGCAAGATAAAGGTAATGCCCTCTAAAATATATAGTTTATAATGAGTAAACATGAGACTCAACTGAGTTATAAAATAAAATTATAATAATGAAAAATTCCTTTTCAACAACTAGCCTGAAGCAATGAAAGAACATTTTTTTTGGAGTCAGATGCCCTGTGTTCAAATCCCATGTCTGATGCTTAAGACTTCTATGATTTTGAGCAACTTGCTTAGTCTGGGCCTCAGTTTCTTCCTCTGTAAAATAAGGAGATTGGATGAGATGGCCTCCAAGGTCCCTTCTAACTCTACAACAATGCTATGTTATCCTACCCCGAGGCCATAAATTTCTATGCCAATGTTATTTGCCTGTCTTAATATTCATTCCCACCCCAATCTGGTAAAAATTTCCAATACATATAGCTAAATACAATGCCTGGCTGAGTTTCACTACTTTACTTCTTGAGGAAACAATTTGGTTGGTTCCTCTAGAGAATGGAGCCAGAGTTTTTCTTGTGGCACCCTCTAATACCTGTTTCTATTAGTTGTGAGATTTTTGCTTCAGAGGCAGTTTGGTGTGGTAGATAGGAAAGCTATCCTTAGAGTTGGGAAGACCCAGGTTCAAGTTCTACCTTTCACACAGACTGACTGTGGATAACTTCTTGGTAGCTTGAGCACTGTACTTGGCATCAAAAGTTTGAATCCTATCTGAAATCCTTATGAGCTGTGTGACTTTGAGCAAGTCATTTAATCTTTTTGGGCCTCAGTTTCCTCCTCTGTAAAATGAGGGGATGAGACTAGATGACCTCTTTGTGAGCCTTATGAACAGTGGCTGATCCACATTCTTAGGAGGTGTTTTCTCACTGGGTGTTACACAGATCTAGACCTCACCTCCCAAAAGCACAAGAGGATTTCTGGTGAAAGGGATAGGGGGATGTAATTCCCTCTGGAATCCCAACTCAGTTTGTTTCACCGTTAACACACAGGTAACACCATTTGTTGGGTAGGAGAACACAGGAGGGCTCCTAACACTAACAGCTATTCTAACATAGGTTCACTTTTGATCTGGTCAGACAGGAAGACGACTTCGGAGGGGTTAAATAAGCTTACTTTATTCTAGTCTAGTCTAGTCTTCTCTAAATGGTTGCTGATAATAGGAGCACCAACTCCTGCAGCATTCCCTAATCACACTTCTTGCAAGGGAGGGCAAGAATAGGAGTACAACTCCTCATTCCCTAAGCCTCAATGGGGGCTGGTTGAGGCAAACACAGATTACCCCCAAGCCTTGATGGAGGCCGATCAAGGCAGGTACATGTATTCCTCTATGCATTATCCAAATCCAAAATGGGTTCCCCACTCACTGACCAGTGGCCAATTGATTTATAGGGCAACAGACAAAGAAGGCATCTTGCCAACATCAAGCTCACAGGTTAACTTTAGCAATATTGTCATGACCTAGCACAGTGCAGGCATACATTATATCACCCCTTTAACTCTACTGCGACTGCATGGTAGAAGTTGTTTTCAACCATAATTCGTGGGAAATATCATCTAGAATCCTGGAACTATTATCTAAAAAGGAACAACAAAATCCTCCTTATACACACTAAAATTCACCTTATTTACACAGTTGATGCAGTCATAGGATTTAGTCATAAATGGTGACTTTCTAAGGTGATAATAAAGTATCTATGAAAATGTGACCATACTAGGTGATGGTCTCTAAGGTCCCTTTAAGATCTAGGGCTATGATCCTGTGATGTGAAAATTAGTCCTCTAAGTTTATCAGAAATGAAGCAATGTTATGGGTTAACCCCAAAGAAGCCATGACTCTGAGGGCCATTAAAAGGCTTTGTTTCTAGCTTGTGCAAGAAGAACAGTGACCCTGAGAGGGAACTGCTCTTGTGGAAGAAGAGGCTTTCTCTCTCTTTCTTCTCTCTATTCTCCTGATTGACCATGTTGCTTTAGGCAGTCACCTATGTGGTAGGAGACAATCCATCCACTACGGAGCTGAGATGAATGCTTGGGACAGGAATACATAGAGAGAGGTGGTCATTTGAGGTAGTTAGTGGTTTTGAGGAATGAGAACCCTGACAGAAGAGGAGATAGGCAGCTATGAAAGGAGCAGACCTTGGGAGCTCAGCTGAGCAAACCACCCAGAGATGCTGCATATAAGGACAGCTGCATGATGTGTCTATGAAGAAAGCAAGCACTAATGAGCCCTGCAAGCACTAATGAGTACCAGGTGTTGACAATTGCTTTTACTCATGTGTATGCTGCATCTACAATGGGACTCCAAGTTTAACCCCACTTTTTCTGTGGACATTGTGTGTATTTACAGGAGAGTTTATCCTAGATTCATGGGGGAATGTTTTGTAGCTACTCTTTTTACTATGCCATCTTAGTAAATGCCTTTGCTAAGAGCTAATTATGACTATTGGCTAATTGTTAATGGATAATACACTAGTTGGGTCTTTTATAAGTAGGACTAATCACTAACAAGGTTAACCCTAGAGCTTGAGCTATTTGCTCTTCCCTGGGGACCCAACCTACAAAACTGTGAATGGGAGATCAGGAATAACCCAGAGTGGAGGTAGGTTGTTACATTAGAATCATAGACTCCAATTAATAAATGATAGGAGGATATGAGCAGGCAAAGACAAAGAAATTAAAGTTATCTATAGTCATATGAAAAATGCTCTAAATCATTATTGATTAGAGGAATCAAATTAAAACAATTCTGAGGTACCACCTCACACCTATCAGATTGGCTAATATGACAGAAAAGAAAAATAAGTGTTGGAGAAGATGTGGGAAAATTTGAACATTAATGCATTGTTGATGGAGTTGTGAACTGATTTAACCATTCTGGAGAGCATTTGGAACTGTGCCCAGAGAGCTATAAAACTGTGCTCTTTTGATCCAGCAGTACCACTACTAGCTCTATATCCCAAAGAGATCATAAAAAAGGGAAAAGGACCCACATGTACAATATATTTATAGCAGCTCTTTTTTTGTCATGGCAAAGAATTGGACATTGAGGCGATGCCCCTCAATTGGGGAATGCCTGGACAAGTTGTGGTGTATGAATGTAATGAAATATTATTCTGCTATAAGAAATCATGAGCAGGATGTTTTCAGAAAAACCTGGAAAGGTTACATGAACTGATGCTCAGTGAAGTGAGCAGAACCAGAAGAATATTGTTTATGGTAACAGTAACATTGTGTGATGATCAACTATTATAGACTTAGCTCTTCTCAGCAATGCAATGATACAATTCCGAAAGACTCATGATGGAAAATGTTATCCACATCCAGAGAAAGAACTGTGGAGTCTGAATACAGATTGAAGTATACTATTTTCTCTTTTTTGTTTTTTGTTTTTTCTTTCTTTCTCGTGGTTTTCCCACTTTTGTTTTGATTCTTCTTTTACAACATGACTAATATGGAAATATGTTTAACGTGGTTGTACATGTACAACCAAATCTAACTACTTGCTGTCTTGGGAAGGGGGATAAGGGAGGGAGAAAAAATTTGAAACTCAAAATCTTATAAAAATGAATGTTGAAACTATCTTTACATGTAATTGGAAAAAAAATGCTATTAAGTGGGGGGAAAAAAGAATTATAAGCCATAACACCTAAGAGTGGGAAGAAAGACAGAAGCAATGAATTGAGCATTTATTAATCATGTTCTGTGTGCCAGGCACTATACTAAACACTTTACAAATGTAATCTTATTTGATCCTCACAATAACCATGGGAGGCAGCTAAAATTATTATCCCCATTTTACAGTTGAGTAAACTGAGGCAGAGGTTAAGTGACACCCCAGAAGAAGTCAGATCTTTCTGACTCCAGGCTCAGTGCCCTGTCCACTCTACCACCTAACTTCCTCTAAGAGGACAACTTAGGAGTCATCTGCCCATTTTATAGATGAGAACAAAGGACTTGCTCAAGCATTTAGCACTAGTTGTGGTAGAGCCAGGACTAGAAACCTCAGTCTTCTTATTCCTGATCTGTTGCTCTTTGCCATACTGCCCTTTGATTTTTAGGGACAATTTCTTCCAAAGAGGTTTGAGGTTACAGGGGAAATTTCTATGCTCCCCAATTTCCAAATCTGTTTCCTATTTCCATACAAATTAAGCCATTATGTGGCTCTGAATTAATGAGGTTGACTCTGCAACCACATGAAAATCAGTTTTATTGTTTTATGAAGGAAGGTTAAGGCATTTATTAAATACGATTTGCCAGTTACTATGCTAAGCACTGGGAATAGAAATACAAGCCAACAAGCTAGTTCTTACTCTCAAGGAACTTACATTCTAATGGGGCAAAACAACAGATAAAACAGAACCAAAAAATGAGAAGGGGAGGGCTTTAGAGTCATGGTTTGGAAATGGACAGAAAGTGAAATCATCACTCATATATACGGTATATTTTCTAAAGACTGAGTTCACAATAAACTTTTAACTGTAAAATACCAATGGGAAATGTTCGGTCATTTTATATGCCAACTCTTTAAATGATATTGAGCCATATTTTCCCCATGGGTTATATGAAGGACTTTTGAAGGGTTCATAAAGTCAGAGAATCCTTTTAAGCCAGAGGCTCTTACCCTTGTGTGTGTGTGTGTGTGTGTGTGTGTGTGTGTGTGTATGTGTGTGTATGTGTGTGTATGTATGTGTGTGTGTTAGTGTTATGGATCTATTCAGCAGTCTGGTGAAGCTTAGGGACTTCTCAGAATAATATTTTTAAATGTACAAAATAAAACACATAGGATTGCAAAGGAAGTCAATTAAATTAACAGACAGTTATGAGAATATTAAATAACAAGTTTGTGGACCCTGAGTTAAAAATACATTTCTGAGAGACCTTAGAATTTACCTAATTGTTTTACAGATGACAACAGTAAGGTCATAAATTCAAAGAATTAGAGCTGGAAGGGATTTCACATGGAAGTTACTTACCCAAGGTTTCACAGCTAAATGTAGTAGAATTGATGTCAAGGGTAGATTTTATTCCAACAATAGAAAT